CTCATATGATGAGTGGATATGATCCTTCACAGAAAGGTGGTGGGGTTATGCAGCTGAAACAGTTGGCTCCATGCACCCTATGTGATTTCCCACATTTCARAGACAACCCGTAGTCTCCGTCACTGAGAAATGAGGGAAATCTCATAGATGAATAACAACTCATAAAGCTAAGATTAATATACAGAACAGTATTTCAAGCCAAATAATGCTATTCATGATCATGCATTCAAGGAACCAATACAACTCAATGAAAAATGATATCCTCTTCACCATTGTCATCTATGTCCTTCGTAGGCTTTTGCAGAAGGCAAAGGAACAATAAATCAAGGGACTTTTTTCCATGCAAAGGGAGATTTAGTAGAAATTTGACACGATGTCGTGGACACTGGGCAATACCAACATTTTCTACAAGGCAAGGAGATAACAGTTTTCAATATTAAGGATTAATAAAATGTTACGAAGGTGTAAGGTACATTACCCAACATTGGTCCTAGCCATCTAGCGTCTTGGGGAAAGGGTGGGTTGGATACATACCTAACCTTTGGCATTTTATTGCACAAAGTGACTGCCATCCGACCTGTATTTTCATGGTTATCAGCCCAATATTTGGAGGTATATGAGTATACCATAATGTAAAGAGAAACAGGGTAAGAGCTCAAAGGTGAGTATGAATTTGGAGGAAGAGGGAGTGACTTATGCAGATTCTATGAAGGGTGGTCCTAATTTCAGCATATTTACTACCTTATGCTATGTTAGTTAGATGAAAGTCATGAATCATAATTCATGAATTTGATTATTTGTATAAAATTTTTTATTTTTTTAAATTACTATAAATTTTTTTAGTTTTATTTAATTTATTTGATATWTTTTTTAATTTTTAACATATAATTTTGTATTTTCAATTTGTAACTATATAATATTTTTATATTTTATCAATTTATTTCATTTTCATATTTCATTCATCCAAGTATCCAATGATCCAATCATTGTATTTGTAATTTATACCATTCAAATTTAAATGAAATAAAATTCTCGTTTTTCTCCGATTTGTTATTCCATCATTCTTATTTCAATTTGGTTAAGTATTTTTTTTTTCATTTATGTGTTAGATAACTTAGATTTCTCATTTCTTAATTTTTTAAATAATTCTCAATTCCCAAAGTTCAAAGGAAAGTTAAATATTTTAGTTTTACAAATTTACTTAGAAAAGAAATCAAAATTTTCAAAAAAAAAACAGTGCAACCCGGTTTGGCCCAAGCCCAAGGCCCGCCCTGTGGCCCAGCCAGCCCGACCCATGCCCGCAGCATGGCACGGTACAGCATGGGCCCGCACGAGCCTGGGCCATGGGCCGTGCCGGGTCGACCCCCAAAATTTCCACCGAGGAGGCATGGCCCATGACGACTCGCCTTTTGTGCCGCCCATGGGTCGTGTCGTGCCGACCCGACATGACCCACTTTACACCTCTAGCTGAATCGGCTTCGTTCCAAGTTGTGCCATCTTAAGTGGAGGCTTGTTTTGGGATTCAGTTTGGGTATGAACTACCACTTTGGGAACTACATTTGTGAAATCCATATCAGGTATATTTCTCCCTCTAATTTGGTTCTAGATCTGGTTCATTTTCGATACAAGAACGATCATTGAAAAACACAGTTTTTCTAAATTAGGGAATACGACTCCCAAAAGGCTGAAAGAAAATTTTTAAAATTTCACCCAACCATCTAGCATGGTTCGGCAATCTATATGATGAATTTCACCTTCTTTCAAACTTAGCTAACATTGTAGTAATCTTYAACATAATAGAGCTTATTTTTCTAAACTAGAATACCTTGTGGTGGTGTACKACTTTGGATTGCATGGTAAGGGCAATATTTTATAGACTCATATATGCACAACTTGTGTATTCGTTTAGTAACTACTAATTACACTAAAATGAAAGGAAAGAAAATGTAACACAACCTTAACAAATAGTTTATTTTTCATGTGAAATCATGTCTTGTACATAATCAGACAGATGAAATTCACAAATCCATTTTTTCTCCTTATCTTATCCAATACATACAATTGCACACTCTAATACCCACCAGCTCGAACTCTCTAACTTCTAGTTAGAGGAAGATGCCATATCGAATACATAAACTGCAAACTCTGGTACCAAGTTCTTGAGCTTTCTAACTTCTGGTTAATTTACAAGAAATGTGGTCACCTGCTTCCTTGGAGATTGCTTGAACTTTGAAATATTTTAGCACGGCATGAGTAGATACATCTACTCCAACTCCAAATTCCACTACCAGAATCATAGTCCACTTTCAATCTTTGACTGCTTGGCATCTTCAATCCTCTTCTCACCTGACTCCATTGCAGTGTCGTATGATGCATGGAGCCCAAAGAACAAATAGTAAAGCAAAAGAAACCCAGACCAGACTCCAAATCTCATGAATGACTTGCCATCTATTGAACCAAGAAGAAAGATGTTAATAGCAATTGATGCCGATGGTAACCATGGAACCAGTGGTACACCCCAGAGCTTTGGATCGCGTGCCTGAGGAACAAACACCTGGAGAGATAGGGTGGCCAAGAACCATATAGGCCCAATGATTATGTATGCAATATACCCAGTCTCATTCGTAGCCCAGTACACTGCAGCAGCAACCGAGGAACCAAGTATGAACAGGATGCACAGGATGAGCACGTTACGGTGCACCGATGAGGTCACACCGGTCACATAGTACCGACGTACTAGAAGCGCAACAGCAACAAGCATGAAGATAAAGAGTGTTGATATGGAGAGGAGGTTGGAGAGGATGTCGAGCTTGGTGAAGAAACCAATGATGGCAGTTGCAAGAAGCATCACAATGGTGGCATTGATAGGTGTTCCCGTCTTTTCATTGACGTGAGCAAACCATGGAGGGACCATGTGAGTGCGGGCAATGTGGGTCAGATATCGTGCTTGACCTACAGCATTGACTAGCAACACAGTCGTCATTCCTTTCAATGCACCAACAGCGACAATGTACTTGGCCCAATTCATCCCAACAGCCTGGAATGCAACAGAGAATGCGGCATCCTCATTAACTTGACTGTAAGGCTGCATAAGGCAAAGTGTCACAGCCATCAGGCAATAGGCTGTTGTAGTAATTAGCATTGAGCCAACCAGCCCAATTGGAATGTCCTTTGCCGGATTTTTTGTTTCCTCCGCCATGGTTGACACAGCATCGAACCCAACATACGCAAAGAACAGTACAGCTGAGGCCTTGAAAATGCCACGAGCACCGAAGGGGGTAAATGGGGTGTAGTTTTTCGTATCAGCCTTGATGAAACCTGCAACTATAATGAAGATAATGATGATAACATGCACAATTGAGGCAATGTAGTTGAGTCTAGACGAGCCCTTGGTACTGAGCACAGCAAGTATGCAAATGCCTATAATGACACCAACAGAAATAGGGTCCAAATAGCCATAATCTTCGCCGAGCTGGTGAACATGTATGCGAAAGTCATTAGGGTCATGGTTGCATAGGGTTGCAAAGTAGGAAGTCCACGAACGGGCAACCGCAGCCCCACCAATGATGTACTCAAGGAGGATGTTACCGCCGGCAATGAAAGCCATAAAATCCCCTAACTCCACTCTTAGATATGCAAATGATCCACCTGAAACAAACGGGTGCAACATCTCACTAACTTATCCGTCACATGGACCATTCACATGGCAAATGCAAATGGATGCTTCATGTGTCGAACACTTGTCCAACAGTGTTCTTGAAATATCTTGATGACATAACAAAATAATATAGCAAACACCTTAAAGATGAACAAAAAGCTCTTATCTTTCTATCTAAAGGAGGATCCTTTCTACGATCATGGTGAATAAATAATAAATACAAAACATTGTTTACAATTTGGAGCCAATAACAAAGAAGTGAAGAACATGCAAAAAGTTCAATCAAATAAATATTACCATAAAAGATAAAAGATGGATCCAATATACTTTCTCATCTAAAAAGTAAAAAGTTCAAAGTAATAATAGTTTATATGCAAATGTGTATAGTATATAAATATATGCATAATTAAAATTAATAGCATTTCAAATTTTTAAAACATCCTGATTAGGAGCTTAATCTGTGACAGTGTAACACGTTACTCCATTCAGTCTCTTGACACGTTACCTCATTCAGTCTTTTGTTTGTTTTTTAGATAAAAGAATATTGATGTAAATACTTCATTACCCCATAGCCATGGTAGAATGTCATGCACAGCAACCTCCCAAACAGCCAAACGTTTTCTTAGGAATCCTTTCTAAACACCCAATTTTTCTCAGGAATGTCATTATGGTAAAAATAACTGATAGCCATCAACCGGTATCGTACCATTGGTAACTAATTATCAAGTGGTATTCATTCAAATTGGCGTATGTTTCTACTTGATCAACGTTTTTCCGGTATCTACCCTTTCCAGCATCATAAAATTGCCTTGTTATGTTTATCTAATTAGGTTTGACAAAAACTTGTGACACATCAACTGGTATTATTTCGATACTGTGTCTTTCCGGTATCATAAATTTTCCCCTATCTAATTTAATATTAACACTGATGGCCAGTACTCTGACACTAGAAAACCTTATTTTTATTTTCTGTTTTGGTAAGTAAAAAATAAAATAAAATAAAGTTTTCAGGTGTCATATACCTTTAGGTATCTTATGTTTTAAGGTATTCAGTCAATAAATTATAAATAATAGGCTTTTCATTCTAGCTATTGTTGTTTAGTTGCTAACAGGTATTTGTTGCTCTTGATGGACCTAACGTTAAACGTTCGAGCCCAATTAAGGTTCTACCAGAAAAAAGAAAAAAGCCCAATAAGCTTGGCAGATACAGGTCAGACCAATGTCCCTATAGGSTTGGATCGTGCTTATTCCCATTATATCTTTTAGGTCCATCAAGGGTTATGGGTTTGATTAAATGTCAACCAAGATTCAAAGTATCGATATGGATCGTGCTGTCCACCACTGCATCCGGCAACATTTTCGTCGACTTTCGCTTTCTCTTCTGACAACGTTAGCGGCGGGCGGCAGYACTGATGAATGGATTGCAAGAGGAAAAAGATGAACAATGTTTTTACTCTTAATTGATATTATTTTTAAAAAGTTAACTTATATTTGAAATGTTTTTTAAAAATATTATTTTTATTGATATTAGAGCCCAAAAGTTGCCCTTATTTATTATAATACCTTTTTTTTTCAAAAATATTTCAAGGGAGTCGGTTTTAACCTTGCCTACCCCTGAAATGCCCATAAATTCTAAAACTCCCTTTATTTATGGTTTCGAAAAGTTATCGATATAATACAATACACCCAATACACCCATATGTGACATATCGTATCAAAATTTTGAATATGGATGTCAATTTGCCAATTAGTCAACCATGGGCAAACCCGACAAAGTTTCGGGCTTAAATCTATAGTATAGACCCATTCCGGGTTGGCCTAGCACTCAGACAATAGCAGGCCGGGTCACTACCTTTACCACTAACTTGCTTAATCCAAACGATCTCAAGATCGAAATTTAGAGTTATGAGGGTTCTACCTGCTACCGGAATTTCCACAGCAAATTCAGTGTAACAGAAGACGGAGAGCATGGCAGATATGCCGGAGACAACATAGGAGAGAACTACAGCCGGGCCGGCGACGCTTTTCACCTCCAGACCAGTGAGGACAAAGATTCCGGCACCAATTACCGCGCCGATTCCAAACCAAATAAGATCCCACCATGAAAGGTTCTTCTTCATATCATGCTGACTTCTAGCTCTAATCTCGTGTATCTCAGTCTCATCAAGGGACCGAGTAAGAATCCGGTCTTTGAGCCTCAAACCGGTCTGGCTCAATGCCTTGGCATAGTTCCCCCAGCTCTTGAAGGACTCTTCAGGCAAGAAGTCTTCTTTGCTACATGAACATCCCCTCCTCCTCACTCCTTCACTACTAACCCCCATTTCTTTCCTTCTGAGACGATGCTAACCAGCCTGTAGAAAACAGTAAGATCCAGTAGAAACATCAATAACCAAGAAACAATTCCAATCAAACGTTCAGAAGACCCAAGTGGAAAGGTTGAAGCAACAATGGCTGTGGGACCCATGTAAATGCCAATCTAACGGCTAAACGCCATTAATCTGTTGGCCTATACAGCAAATTGGTGCGTTCAGGTTTCTAGAAGTACTTTATCAATCATCATTAAGGAAAATTTTTCCATATAAACCAAAAATGATAAAACATGGGTTTGAAATTCTGGTCTTCAGAACTAATTAAGAAATGATTAAATGACCTAGCAAAAAAAGATTAATTAGTAGATGAATGAAGTCAAGAGAAATGAACTACTTAAATGAAACGCCGATGCAGAGTTGTAAAAAGCAGGTTTCCACAAAAAGAGGAAATCGAACCCAAACAGAGAAAACGGATTAAAAAAAAGTMGATTCAGTGAAAAGTAACTTTCTGCCTTCAATGTTCCTATTCAGATACCAACCGGATTTTTAATTGTGCTACAGGAGAAAGAAATCACAATAAAGATAAAACAAGGAAAAGAAAGTTTTCGAGTTTCAACTTAAACAAACGAGTCTCTGCAACTCGTATTCAACCAGAAAAAAGGACAAGTGTAATTTTTTTAAAAGAAAACTTAAATTTTCATTGGAGACCATAGACCATATCTATTGTAAATTTTACAAATCTTAAGTAAGTCATGATCTCAAGAGTTTTTTAACAAAGAAAATAATACTTTTCCCCTGCAATTCAAACGAATTGAAAACAAAATGAAAAGATATTTTCAAAATTTTTCATCAAGGATGAGTTCAATTACCTCTATTTTCAGCTGTGATCTAAACGAAAACTAACAAAATACCGCAGAGCTCATTCGAATCCCCAATCAATCATAGAGTGGTACCCTGAAACTCTTGTTTCTGGATAGAACAAAAGAAACTAGATCACTATATATAAGCAAGTCAAAAGAGAAGCGATTCGGTCCAACTTTCGGCTGAGCCACTGTACACATATAGAAGCTCCAAAATACTTGCCGATAACCACAGATCTATCCAAACCAATTAAAATATTTCGGCGGGCCTTCCAATTACGCGACGTCAACGCGTTGAAAACTATAAAGAAATCGATGCAAAATAGGGATCCAGCCTAGCCTTAGAGTAGAAAATACAGATCAGCATATAGAATCTTCGTCGTTCGAGATCTCAGATTCACAGTTTTAATTTCAAAGCGAACAAAAAATAATCAACAAACGAAGTAAAATAGTCAGAGATTAAGCCAATTGAGATAAAAGAATATTAATATTGCAAATGACCTATTTCAAACTATAGGCTTGGCTTCACCGTTGAATCGCCGTATTATTTGTTGACAGAAAACCGTCGGAAAACAAGCAGAAGAAAGAGTTCCGACGACCGGAGAAATCAAGACCAAAGTATTTTGGTCGCCTGGGTCTGAGGCCTGCGAGCTTGGACCTTGGAGGCGGGAAACCAATTCCCGGTGATTTGTAAGAGCCGGTGGGCTCGTCTTGCGAGTGTGACCGGAAAATCCGCGTTGTCACTTGTCAATCGATTTGTGGCCCATGTGGAGTGGAAAGGAACGGACACGTAGTGGTTGTTGTTAATGGAATTGGGAATCTTCTTATGTGTCGGGATCTCTTCTGTTTCGAGTGAAAGATTCAAATCCAGTGTACAGGAGAGAGTTTACGTTTGCTTGGTGATTTATTGAAATTGCGAGAAAATGTCAAAATGATCACAGTGTTTGTGATGTGATCAACTTAACTGATCATGTCCGCTGTAGCCCATGGTGAGTAGCGAAGCGAGGTCACGATTTCCTCAGTTGTTTGCGCTAGTATCTATGAGTGTATGACACGCCAAGCGGATGACCGCATTGGGCGTTAGAATTGTTTCAGACATTTACTCCATCTTATTTGCCACCTGTCACTGGTCTATATCTTGCCACGTGTCTTATGTATAGATTCTCGGTCCATCCTATAAAATGGATTACGTGGGACCTGTGTAGATATACATATTACGTTTATTTGTTTACGCATGAAATACGAGTATTGTCAACTTCGGTAGGCTGTGGTGGGTCTATTATCCAGTCAAGAAAGTTAAGACTGCGTTTGGTTGCAAAATGTAAATGCTAATATGTACATTGTATATTTACTTTTTTTTATTCGTAAATACAGTTCGTATTTTAAATTGTTTTTGCATTCATCTTGTTTGTTTGAAATCTATAGTCTGGACCTACCATTAAATGTTCCAATTATTTAATGCTCTAATACCTTAACTTTCATCAAAAAGTTAATTATCAAAAAAACATAAAATTATATCTAGAAAACAGGTACAAAAGTATCAAAATACATTTTAGATTTAATAATCCTTATTTTTTTATATATCAAATAAATGCTCACAAATGCAAACCGGGGTATATAAATACCCCAATTCGGCGTTGTATCACAAACAAACGGAGCCTAAGAATTGATTTAATTTACAGCTAAAATTAAAATAAAATCCTTTGGAGTTGGTATAGAAATGGTTCATTTCTATATTCCGTTTAACTTGAATTGAAAAAAGTTAATGAAATTTCACTTCCAAAGAAGGGGAAGAGATTAGCCATTCTTTCAAATGGGGCAATAAGATTCCGATTCCACTCAGTCAGACAGCTAGAATCAGAATGGGTTATTGCAGTGGGTTTTGGCCACTGCAATTCCAAAAGCGCACAAGTATTTGGACCACGGACTGCTCAAGGGATAATTTGGATGCAAGTGTGAACTCAACAAATGTGTTACTTTTTTGTTTTTCCTTGCAGCTGAACAATTTGCTCCGACTTTTTCCTTATATGCTATTACCCCTTTATTTTCTCCTTCTTTTGCTTTCCGTAACAACCAATGACAACGTCGGCAAAGAAGTCAATAAGGATACTCTCTCTCTCCAGCCCACTTAATTGGACTTCTGGGTCTCAGATTCAAACTCAAAGTCACACATTTTTGTCTGTTGCTACTTGCTAAACAATCTTCTAATACACATGCTTTGATTGGATGGTATGCATGGTTTCAAAACCGGAACGGATCGAACCGTCCGACCAGAAAAATTGGGAACTGGTCACCATTTTACTTTAGAACTGTTATTTCACCAAGAACTTATTGATTTGATCAATTTATCGTTGATTCAAGCAGTCAAATCGTTCGAACCATCTAATGGTTTTGGCCATTTTTTATTTTTTTAATTTTTAAATTTTTTATTTTTTGTCAAAACAGACCATTTGTTTGCTTCAAATGATCAAATCGTTAATCACCATTCCAGAGAATACTTTGTGGAAAGAAGAAGACCAAAAATTAAACTTTTTTCTTTTGAAAAAAAAAACAGCAAAACATTTTTTATTGTTTTTTGAGAAAATGGCTAACCAAACAGCCTATATCGAACCAATTTTTGCTGTTTTCTCAAAACCTGATGTGGCTTTAACATGCTTCTGTTTTCTCAAAAAACGGCAATGGTCCCAGGTCCCAAACACGAGTCTGGCTCTCCTACCCACAATAACTCTGTCCACATCTATGCACATAGCATCGCAGCCACACATGGGGAACATTTCATCCTCTTATATAGAATTTTGCATACATGGAGGTAGTGTGTTATGAGTAGAGTTCTTGTGGGCAGGATATCTTGAGGGGATTTCAAGGCGGGATTTCCTTTTTCTTTCCGTGAGGGGATTTCTTGAAAACAAAAATTATATAAATTCCGAGAGAGCACAACATCTAGCTGCCTATCATAAGGAGATTTTCTGAAAGAAAATAATCGTACAAAATACAAACACTTTGAGAGCATAACATCCAACTACATATTGGGAATACATTTTTGCGCCTCTCCAAATTCCTCATACCCAAATAATGGAATTAGGGCTGTTCACGGGTCGGGTTGGGTCGGTTTATTGATGTTTTTCCAATCGACCCGACCTGGTCGGGTTACCTGAAATTGAAACCGAAACCGACCCTGAAGTTTCTGACAATCATAAAATCTTCCCTTTAGTTTTATTTTAGCATAAACCTCCCCTTAATTTTTAAAGAATTCAATAAAAACCTCCCTTCTGTCACTAACCCAAAGGATAAATGTATAAAATTACAAAATTRCATCTAATTAATCGTTAGGACATCATTAAAAATATTCTAAAATGCCACGATTACCCTCATTCGATTAATCTCTCTTTTACGCTTTAGAGTTAAATTGTTTTTACTAAAGCAACTGTAAAGGAAAAGCCAAAACCTCAGATAAAACATAATTAACTCCCTGTCTTCTCCTCTCTTTCAACTCTCAACTTTATTTCGAAACCCAAACTCCAAACTATCCGCTCCACTCTCCGGTGAGTGTGGTGGCCTGGCCTACACTCAGTCCGCCAAAACCATCAAGCACGTGGACTCCTCAGTCCGCCAGGAAGCCCTCTCCTGTTCCTGGGGCATTTTAAAATATTTTTAATGACGCCCTGAGGCTTAATTACGGGCAATTTTGTGACGTCATATATTTACCGTTTGGATTAGTGATTGAAGGGAGGTTTTTGTTGAATTCTTTAAAGGTTGAAGAAAAGCTTTTATTAAAATAAAATTAAAGAGGAGGTTTTTATAATTGTGAGAAATTACAGTATAGTGTAGGTTTTTATATTTTACCCTAAATTTAATTCTAAAACTACCCTAATCTAAGAATTCAACCTAAAATATCGACTATGATGCAAAACAAAATGGGACCTGAAGGGTCTAGAACATTGTCATCTATTTTAAGAATTAGTTTATTTGATTTTTAATATTTCAGTGAGGACTGGTAGAATTGGGTTTTGAATAGGACTTCTCTAATAGTGGTGGGCCTAAGATTCATGGTTGATGGTGGGCCTTATTTTGATCAACCATTTCTGATCATTGTGGGTCTAAGATTCCAAAGTTACAACGAAGTGGGTCCAACCTAAATCCCCACAAGCATTTTAGAGATGAATACGTATGAAGATGCATAGTTATTAGATGTCTATATCTGAGGGGTGTCAATTGGATTGGATTTGGTCTAATCCGGTCCAATCTAATGTGAGTTCATTACAAATAGACAATATCAAAATCAATTTAATATTTGGGCCATTCAATCTGTTTAAATTTATTTTAGCTTAGATTAATTTTAAGTTTTTAATCCAAACCTGGTACATTGACACTTATAGTCTTATCTTCTACCAATGGATTTATATATTGGCTCAATCCAACCCAATCCAATATAAATTCATCACGGATGGACCAGGTCCAATCTAATCCAATAAACACTTTGGACCCTTAAGTCTGGATTAGTCCAATTCAATATCTCTTATCTCTTGTTGGTCCGTCCAATCTGTCCAAATTGATTTTGCTTTAGATGAAATCCAATCCAAAAGTGATCCATTGACACCCTTAAATCTGATCATGATAATATTTTTTATTTTCTAACCTAGTTGGGATCCATATAAATGATATTTATTGTAGAGTGAGACTTGTGGCTAATTTTTAATACCCCGAAATGATTTAGGAATACAAATGTATCCAATAGAATTCAAATAAGGGTATATCCAAATTCAATATGAAGATTCAATTAGATCTCACAAGTAGTGATTTGAATTCAAATCTATTAATAATGTCGGATATTCAAATCTGATCCAGTTCAATTCATTTTTCTTTAAAATTTTAATAAATTTAGAAAAGAAAACATAGCAATTTATATAAACAAAAACAAAAATACAAGTATTTTTTTCAATTATTTTCATCATATATAAATATATCAAATTTTTTAAGATCAAATAGAGAGTGATTCGAATTTAATCCAATTTTCAATTGGATCCAATAAAAAAATCCAATAAAATCTATGGAAAAGTATGAATTTGCCCAATACAATTTCCTGATTTACATTGCAGGGCTATAAATATTCAAATTGACCGATACCCACACCCTATGCACCCACGCCCGCCGTGAATTGGCATCAATTCCAAGCTGGCACCTACCCCGACCATACATTGAACCTACAAATTCTGACAATGGGGGTATTGGCCATTCTCCCTAAAATCTATCTATGACAAAAATAAGAATAGATTCTGATTGAATTGGATCATGATCCGATAATTTGCACTTTCCTCTAGTGCTGGATATTGGGTTGCCTGATTTGAACAACTACGTTGGATTCGGGCTAGGTCCAGGATCCATTGAAAATTTAACAATTTCTCCGACCCAGACCGGAACAAAAAAATCATATTCAAGTGACGTGATTCCCTAGTAATAATTTACTTTATGTTTGAAAGCATCTCAACATCAGCCGTTCATTGTGAATTAAGAAAACCTTTACCTATCATCATTTATATCCGATCTATAAATTATAATTACATAATAAAATGGCCTCATCAATCATCATCTCAATACGTCAACCTATCATAATTATCATAAAATCATATATTGTATCATGTCTATAAATCATAATTACACATCATTCTCATCATCCATCACACCTATAGAGATAGTTATATACCCTTT